CCACTGCCCCACTGTGCCACCCCAGCACAGCAACAACTTGAGCTAATTATATTTGAAATCTTCCCAACAAGTGCTGCAATTTCCTTCAAAATTAATTAAGTATATATGTATCTGTCCATGTGCTCCAAATTACTACGAACTGGCTTATCGGGGTAACATGTCGGATTTAAGGTACCACAGTTTAAATGTGCTTCATATTCGTTCACTTACATCTTGCCCAGACTACCTTAAGCCAGTAACCCTGCTTCGTAGCACAGGCCCCAGGTCGTACAGCAAATTGATGTATTCAGACTTACATGGTGACCGTCAGACTGGCGATGTGTCCCTGCCATCGAGCAGGCGCCTCGGAGCTCGCGCGATCGCTCACATCATCCCAAATGTCCTCCATCCCCCTCACCTCTACAGCACAAGTCACCGTATTCGTAATGGATATTTATAACACCGTCACGCAGAAACCAGATCAATTAACAGCGGTATGTTCGGGGCAGACACTTAATGCAAATGAGCTGTGATGCCCGTCAAAGTAATTAGCAAATACAGAAATATCTGGCACAAACACGGACACACTGTCGATGAACATTATTAGATGTTTAGCGATAAAGACCTTAAATAATGGCACTGAATGCAGTGCTTGTAAGGTGGTCAAACCTCAGACACAGTTTTATATCCAACACCCTCAGGCAAGTGTCCCATAAGCCAAAGTTCTCATTAGGTTCTGCTTGGGTCACCAGCCCTGTGAACTGTGCCTGTTCCTGTCCCCAAGGGAGCACTTTTACATGCCCTTTGCCCCCCGGCTAGAAGAGGAGTCATCCTGTCGTACGATCGACCAAGCTATTCCATCAGCTAAATCAGCACACGGCCAGCGCCTCTCACACTGTAGCATGAGCCGCTCGATTCACACAGCTAATCATGAAGAGCCGTTCGGTGGTTCTTCTCTTCCAGCTTCAGGATGTCCAATCGAGATGTAATTAAAGACAAAGGGCAAAAGTGAGGCCTCTGGAGTTCACATGATCAATAGGCAACGGCAAACGCTTACAGCCTATCCATCTCCAACAATCATTGACTCACTGAAAGCGGTTGCGGTCCGTTGTTGGTCCCAGAGGGGAACAAGGTGCAAAGCAGGTGTCACCGTGACTGCCGCATGGAACTGACACGTTTGGTTACGAAGGGCAATACATCAGTACAAAGACGGCATTTGATCAGACTGTAGGAAACGGGGGGGGGGGGGGGGATTCAAAACCACAGAAGCACCGCCATGACAATCGATAATTCATTTCACAATATTACAACAAATCTTGAATTTTTCCAAAGGAGAGAGAAAATGTGTTTTTAAAGGACAAAAAAATAGTGATGAGTTATTTCATAGTTACTTCATTTTCATAATTTGATCTCAAAAACAGAAGAGGCACTACCAACTGCATCTCAACAAATCAGCCTCCTGTGATGATACTATACTGCTCTAGGAGCCTCCTGTGATGATACAATACTGCCCTAGGAGCCTCCTGCGATGATACAATACTGCCCTAGGAGCCTCCTGTGATGATACAATACTGCCCTAGGAGCCTTCTGTGATGATACAATACTGCCCTAGGAGCCTCCTGTGATGATACAATACTGCCCTAGGAGCCTCCTGTGATGATACAATACTGCCCTAGGAGCCTCCTGTGATGATACCATACTGCCCTAGGAGCCTCCTGTGATG